CGCGCGGCCCTGGAAGCCCGACCCGGGGCAGGCGGGCGGAGGGCGGCCGGGGCCGGGCCCGGCGCTGCCGCTGACCCTCAGCGTGCTGGCCTGGCTGGGCACCGGCACCACCATGGCCGGCCTCAACAAGTGGATCTTCGCGGCGCACGGGTTCCGCTACCCGCTGCTGCTCTCGGCGCTGCACATGCTGTCCGGCGTGGCCGTGGGCTACCCGCTGGGCTGGGCGCGGGCCCCCGGCCCCCGGCCCCGCGCCCGGATCTACCTGCTCAGCCTCACCTTCTGCAGCAGCGTGGCCCTGGGCAACCTGGGCCTGAGCTACGTGCAGCTGGACGTGGCCCAGGCCGTGGCCACCACCACGCCGCTGGTGACGCTGCTGCTGGGGCTGCTGGGGGGCCGGCGGCCGCACCCGCTGCAGTTCTGGGCCATGGGGCCGGTGTGTGCCGGGGCCGCCTGCAGCATCGCCGGCGGCCTCTGCTTCTCCCAGCCCGGCTGCGGCTTCCTCCTGGCCGCCACCGTGCTCCGCGCCCTCAAGTCCATCCAGCAGAGTAAGTGCCGCCTGTCCCTGTCCCTGTCCCTGTCCTGCATGTCTGCCTGGCCCTGGCACGGCCCCTGAGTGCAGGGGTGCTGCTGTCACCTCGGTGCCACTCTCAGTGCTGGGGGTTCTCCCTGCTTGCCTTGCCACCCTCTGTGCACCCTGGTGTCACCCCAGCCCAAATGCCACCCCACCCTGTCACTGGTGTCACCCTAGTGCCACCTTTGTGCTCTGACACTGCCTGCCCACCTTGGCCACAGTGTCACCCCAACCATGGTGACACTCTGGCTCCCAGTTTCACCCCAGTCCCGGTGCCACCTGCTGTGCCTGTTGTCCTTGTATCACCCCAGAGCCACCCTGGACCCTCTCAGGGCTGTGTCATGCTTGTAACCCTGAGGTGCCATGACTTCAGTTTGTCGGTGGTGACACCATCGGTGTCCCTGTGGTGTCCTTGGGCCATGGCAGGTGGAAGTGCCCTCGCTTGGCTCAGGCTCACCCAGCCTGTCCCATCCCTGTGGGCTGCTGGACTTGCTGCGAGTTCCCCCTTCCCGGGGACTCGGTGGCCACAGTGCCACCCGGGCCGTGGTGTCCCTGGCAATGGCAGTGAGGAGCCAGCTCCACACCAGGAATGGGTGTGGCTGGCAAGGGAGCGTTTCCCCTGAGCCTGGGACTTGGGGCACCGTGGGGATGGGCTCTGGCATGGGGCCCTGTGCCCACCCTATGGTTTCCTTGGCTGTACTGGGGTGCTGTGGCCCCTCAAGGGACGCCACTGGTCATCGTGCCACTGCCCTGTCACCTTTTTAGCACCACTGGGACATGGATAGTGGCCCTGGGGAGGGTAGGGGCATGTCTGTCTGTGTGTGGCAGCCAGCCGTGCTGTGCCTGCTGTCCTCAGATGACCTGGAGGGGGGGACATGGGGACAAACGCTCTTCAACGGGCTGGGAAAGCTGCCCTGTCCAACCCTCCCAAACACAGGCAGCCTTGGAAGCAGACACCCTCGGAATCAGGGCATCCCCAGAGTGGGACACCCCCTAAACCAAGGAATCCCAGAAATGAAGGACTCCTGAACAGAGACACATCCAAACCAGGAAACCTCTGAACTGGGACCCCCGCAAACCAGGGCACCTCCAGCCCATGGAAGGAACTCCCCCCCTCCCCATTTTCCCCTTCCCGGTGACATTCGGGATTTGTTTCCTGTGGCTGGGTGTCTCCTGTGGGTGCTGGGTGTCCCTGCGGCGGGTGGGTGTTCCCGTGGGATGTCCCCCTGACTGTCCCCCTGTCCCCCCAGGTGTGCTGCTGCAGGAGGACCGTCTGGACGCGCTGTCCCTGCTTGGCCTGACGTCCCTGCCCAGCTTCGTGCTGCTCTTCGGGGCGGCCGTGGCGCTGGAGCTGGGCCCGTCCTGGCAGGGCGTCCTCCGCCCCGACGCCGCGCTCTGGGGCTGCGTCCTGCTCAGCTGCCTGGGCTCCGTCCTCTACAACCTGGCCACCTCCTGCCTCCTGTCGCTCACCTCGGCGCTCACGCTGCACCTCCTGGGCAGCCTCACCGTGGTGGGCAACCTGCTGCTGTCGTGGCTGCTGTTCGGCACGCGGCTGGGCACGCTGGGCTACGCCGGCGTGGCGCTGACGCTGGCAGGGATGGTGCTGTACCACCAGCCCCGGCTCCTGGCCGCCTGCTGGGGCCTGCGTGGGCTGCGGCAGCACCCGCGCCACGAGTAGGGACCCGCGGGGGGATCGGGGCCAGGAGGGCTCCGGGGGAGCGCTGTGCACCCGTGTGCCAGTGTGTGTGACTGTGCACGGGTGTGCCAGTGTGTGTGACTGTGCACGCGTGTGCCAGTGTGTGTGACTGTGCACATGCATGTGCCAGTGTGTGTGACTGTGCACACGCATGTGCCAGTGTGTGTGACTGTGCACATGTGTGCCAGTGTGTGTGACTGTGCACGGGTGTGCCAGTGTGTGTGACTGTGTACCTGTGTGCCAGTGTGTGTGACTGTGCACGGGTGTGCCAGTGTGTGTGACTGTGCACGGGTGTGCCAGTGTGTGTGACTGTGCACATGCATGTGCCAGTGTGTGTGACTGTGCACGGGTGTGCCAGTGTGTGTGACTGTGCACACGCATGTGCCAGTGTGTGTGACTGTGCACGGGTGTGCCAGTGTGTGTGACTGTGCACACGCATGTGTGCCAGTGTGTGACTCTGTGCACGCGTGTGCCAGTGTGTGTGACTGTGCACGGGTGTGCCAGTGTGTGTGACTGTGCACATGCATGTGCCAGTGTGTGTGACTGTGCACGGGTGTGCCAGTGTGTGTGACTGTGAACCCATGTGCCAGTGTGTGTGACTGTGCACCTGTGTGCCAGTGTGTGTGACTCCTCTGTGCACACGTGCCAGTGTGTGTGACTCTTCTGTACACATGTGCCAGTGTGTATGAGTCCTCTGTGCACCTGTGTGCCAGTGTGTGTGACTCCTCTGTGCACACGTGCCAGTGTGTGTGACTCTTCTGTACACATGTGCCAGTGTGTATGAGTCCTCTGTGCACCTGTGTGCCAGTGTGTGTGACTCCTCTGTGCATGTGTATGCCAGAGTGTGTGACTCTGTGCCAGTGTGTGTGATTCTGTGCACGTGTGTGTCACTGTGCATGGCTCTGTGTGCACACACAGCTGCTGAGGTGCACACGCGTGGCAGTGTGCATGGTTGTGTGCACGTGTGTTTTCTGGTGTGCCCAGAAGTGAGTGCACACGTCCTGCTTTGCACAGTGTCCGGGTGTGCTGGTGTGCACAGCACTGTGCACATGGACGTGCTGACGTGCACACGTGATGTGTGCACTGCTGTGTGGAATTGCACATGTGGGTGTGAGTGGGTCTGTGCACAGCTCTGTGCTTGTGAGTGTGCACAGGCTCTGCAGGTGTGAGCATGGCCCTGCCTGGGACGTGCGTGTGTTGATGTGTATGACACTGCACACGTGGGTGTGCACAGCTCTGTGTGGAAGCAGGTCTCGTGCTTGTGGGCACGTGTGCATTGCCACGGGCTGTACACAGGTCTGTGCAGTGTCTGTGTGGCACACGTGTGCTGGTGTGTGCAGGCTGGGCGTGCACAGCTCCATGAGTGTGTGTGTGCAGGTGTGTGCTGCTGGCAGGTACCGCTGTGCACTGGCTCTGCACGCGTGCACACACGGGCTGGGCACGCCCAGGGACGTGGCTCTGGGCACAGCTCTGGATACAGCTCTGTGCATCCAGCTGCTGTCCCCCCTGGGCAAACAGATATGTGTGTCTGTATGTCTGTCTGTGTGTGAGTGTGTCACTACTGAGCTCTGCTGGCTGGAGTGGCCCCTGGCTCTGTGTACACTCGGTTCTCGTGGCCGAACCGAACGGCCAGGACAGGGCGGGTGTGTCCCCTCTCCTGTCCCCATCCCCAGCGTGTCGTGACAATCCCGCGGGGCTGCCGGTGGTGCTGCCAATGTTGTCCTTGTCCCCACCACGCCCCTCAGCCCCCACAGCTGTCCCCACGCCTCCCAGCTCGCTGCAGACTGGCATCCGTGGCAGAGAAGGGGAGAGCCCAGCCGAGGGCACGGGAGCAGCCTGGACCAGCTGCCATCGCTCCAGGACAGTGGTGGGCTGTGACACGGGACAGTGCTGGGCTGTGACACAGCACATGCTCACCATGGCACAGGACAACCCGGTGTGTGTGCCTGGCACCGCTGCCGGGGTCCATGGTGGCTGTTGCCACACTTGTATCTCCACGCCGGGGCCGAAGGACCCAGCTCCGATTGCACTTGTCCCAAAATAAAGCTCTATTTTTGTTGTACTCCACCCTTGGCTCCCAGCGATCTCCTGGCCAAGAAGGAAGGAAGGGAGGAGCACCCAGCGCAGGCACAGAAGTGCCTCGGGATGTTGCAGATCTGTGTCCACCATCTCCAGCTCCAGCAGAGACAGCTGCGGTTTGCCAGCCCCAGGGCTGGCACTGGGACACCCCACAGGCCATGGGAGGGATGCAGTGACACAGACAGCGGTCACTGACCACAAGTGTCTGGAAAAGGGCTGGGAGCTTTGCCCTGCCCTGGGGTGCCATGATACTGGAGCATCCTGTCCCCTGAGTCATGGAATTATGGAATATTCCACAAGGATCATCGAGCTCACCTCCTTGCCCTGCACAGGACAGCCCCAAAAGTCAACCATGTGTTGCTTGTTCCACTCCTCTCAGCCTGGTGACTCACTTGACCACAAAAGCGCAACTCCGCTTCCCCCGGAAAATCCCCACTGGTTCCCGCCCTCTTGCCCAAACAGCGATTTTTTTCCATTATCAAGGCAGTGATTTGGGGCCGCTTCCAGCAGCACCTGTGGAATGGCTCCTTCCCAGCACACGGGTGAGGCGTGGGCAGCTCTCCGGGGTGTGCCCAGCGTGCCACCACTGCTGCCACCTTTGCCAAGGTGCCCCAGGTGCGGCTGGAGTGGTGCCCATCCCAAAAGGGACACAAAGGGCCCGCAGCCATCAGCCAGCGGCCCCTGCTCGGGCCAGGAGTGTGTTTGCTTTCTGCGCTCACATTCCAGAGGCTTTTTCACAGCGGGGAGTGTTGGAAGGAGGAGTGAGACCTGCAAACCTGCCACCTGCAGCATGGGCGGCTCAGGAGCCCTGCCCCAGGGACTGCCTGCCTGTCCCTATCCCTATCCCTGTCCCTGTCCCTGTCCCTGTCCCTTGCTGGCACTGGGGGCTGCCTGGATGCTGCCTCCATCCATGGCTTTGCCTTTCCCACCTTGGAGCCGGTGCCGTGTGGTGCTCGCGGTGCCCTGCAGGGAGCAGGGCCGCTTGTGGCCGTGTGTGTCCCTGTGCCGTGGTGACAGCAGCTGGGGGTTCAAGAGCAGCGTTCCTGCTGGGACTGGGGGTTGTGTTGCCCGTGGGAAGCCCAGCAGTGGTGGGAGGGGTGGCTGGCAGTGGTGACTCTCCCTCCGGGTATTCCAGGCCATGATCTCAGCCTGCTGTTATCCCTCTGCTCCGGCCCCAGGAAGGATTGGGTTTCCCACCACACTGACAGCTGCCCATGTGCTGAGCCCGGTGCTGCTCCGGCCAAGCTGGATGAGAGAAAGGCAGCCCAGCCCTGGGGTTTTTGGGAAGGGAGCAGATGGGTCACCTTCCTGGAGAGCAGCCCCTGGCACAGGGCAGGAGCAGCCCAGCTGGAGCAGGGAGCTGTGGCACAGCACTCACATGGGCATAGGGAGGGGTGGCTCCTTGTGAGGAGGGGTCACAGCTCTGAGGGAGGGGTGGCATCTCCACATGCCTGGAGGTGCTGGCTGACAAAGAATCATGGAATCACGAGATGCTTTGGGTGGGAAGGGAATTTAAAGGTCATCTCATCCCATCCCCTGCAATGGGCAGGGACACCTTCCACTATTCCAGGTTGCTCCAAGTCCCATCCAGCCTGGCCTTGGGCACTGTCAGGGATCCAGGGGCAGCCACAGCTGCTCCGGGCACCCTGTGCCAGGGCCTGCCCACCCTGCCAGGGAACAATTCCTTCCCAGTATCCCATCCATCCCTGCCCTCTGGCAGTGGGAAGCCATTCCCTGTGTCCTGTCCCTCCACGCCCTTGCTCAAAGTCCTTCTCCATCAAGGAGCTCTGGGTGAAGTGTGAAAGTCCAAGATGGGAGAAATAAACCCGAGTTCAGTGGGACAGGGTAGTTATGGCACTGTGCCAGACAGTTTTCATGGATCTGCTGCTGAACCGCTGCTGAACCCTCCTTGGAAGTGGCGATGGAACGTGCTGGGGTGGCACTGGAGCAGAAGCAGCGTGTGCCCATGCAGGGGAGAGGAAATCCAGGCTGCATTTACTGTGTGCCTGGGAGCACAGGGTGGAAATTATCTCTGTTTCAGGATGGGGATTAGCTGCTGCCCTGGAGCCTGTCTGCCCTGGCACAGCGGGATTTGGGATCTGCAGCAGGGACAAACACTTGCTAAGCTGGGGAGCCTGAGCCAGGAAACGACATCCTTCTGGGACATGCTGGGCTGTGCTCTCAAACCTACCACATCCCAGTCCTCAAACAGTGTCAGGGACTGTCCTGGGTATGGAGCTGGAATTATGGCAAAGCCTTTTTTAGGGTAGATGTAGGAAGATTGCATTTTTTCTTTCTGTAGGACAGCCTAGCCCAGAGAGCTGAGGGCATTTGAAGCTGCCCAAATGAGACTGGAGGCCAGGATGGACAGGGTGACCCCTCAGGCTCCCTTCCAGCCCTACAGCCTCTGTTCCAGCACCCAAAATCCTGTTCAGGCTTTGTCCTTAACCATTTGGTGACTTCACTGCTGGCTCTGTGTCACAGGCTCCTGCCCTGCCTTGAGCAGCCTCCTGGCTGAGTAGCTGAGTTTCTAAAAGATGAAATCACAGGAGCTTGAAGACATTTTAAAAGTCTTAGAATCAGAGAAAGATGGAGTGGTTAAGGTTGGATATGCTCTCTAAGATCACCAAGTCCAACTGTTCCCCCAGCACTGGCAAAGTCAGCACTAACCCATGTCCCCAGGTGTCACATACTTTTTTTTTAACATTTACAGGGATAGGGACTCCACCACAGCCCTGGGCGGCCTGTTGCAATGCCTTGCCACTCCTTCTATGAAGAATTTTCCCCTAATATCCAACCTAAATCTCACTTGGTGCAACTCGAGTTGCTAGCAACTTGAGGCTATCTCCCTTGTCCTGTCTCTTATTCCCTGGGAAAAGAGCCTGACCTCCAGCTGGCTCCAGCCCCTCACATCTGCTGGGGCTATGGGACCCCACCAAGGATTGGGGTTCTTCACAATCAAGGAGCAGCTTGCTGAAATCATAAGACATGCAATGATTTGGGCTGGAAGATACCTTAAAGTTTATCTCATTCCAGTGCCCTGCCATGGGCAGGGACAACAACCATGGAT